TAAACAATATGCTCAACAAGCAATAGAACACATATACGAAGAAGTAGAGTCTGCAGTGCTACAATGTGCTCAACTAGTAATAAAACAGACATGTCAAAAACAGGGGCCTGTAGTGCGACGTTTTCTGTAGATCTACGTGCTACTTGTGCCAACCAGAAGTACTCCACCCACCTGCATCATTGTGGCGACCCCGCTTGGCCTAAATCAAGAACAAATGTTGAGGGGATGCCTTGTTGTAAGTTGAACATTCAACTGCACACCCTCGAACCCTAACCTCACACCCAAACTTCCAGACCCTAAGCCCCAAATTTATGTAGCCTAAATGCTCCGTGGAGGTCCTGCGGCCCCTCCGCAACCATCGGCTGCAAGCTGTGCGTGGGATCCTCAACGGTTTAGGGTTTAGGGCTTAGAGTTCAGGCTCAGAATAAGCCCCGAAACCCAAGCGCTAATCTACGGCTTTGGGATTTCCGATTTCTATAAGCTCTACGCGCTAATTAAGTGACTCCAACAGTAGCTTAGATCCCCCCAATCTTCTAGGACCAACATAGCCCAAAAGACAAGAAACCACAAGTCTAGCCAACTGGCTAATCTTGCTAAATCCACCCTCAAATCAAGACATTCGGTGTAACTCCTAAAGCCAAGAAACTTGAACCTAATCTTGGCACCTAAACGGTCTCAAGGATGAACAACTTGAATTGATGCTTTATTCCATTCACTGAATTTCCCAAGTTATATACACAAACACCAAATCCTGAGCACCACCGCCAAAAAAAAAAACGCGCCTAATTAGACCCCCCAACCATCCCCATCCCTGACCTAGACATGAGATTTTACGCTTTAGGGTTACTACCCAAGGAGCCCAACATAGCTTACTGAGGAAATATACCTTAAATCATATTAAGGGTCCTAGTATAATCTAAGGTATATTCCTTAACAGAGCTATATTAGGCTCTCTTTGGTTACTACGGACAACCCGATTCTACACACCGCTCAACGAGTCCTCGGCTTTTTCGGGAAGAAGCGGACGTGAGCGTTGCCGCGCTTTCTCCCGCGCCCTTCAGCTGGCATCAAGGGAGTAAGTCTCATGGGATTATATAGGGTTTAGGGTTTCGGGGGTGAAAGAAATGGAAAAGAACATGGAAACTACTATGGTGGGTTCTATAGAGGTTACTATAAGGATCCATTCCTTCATTCCTAGCTAAGCCAAGGCCAGGTGGAGATATACCTTGACCTCCCCCATGCTAAGAGTTTTCACGCATAGACCCATGTTTGATTAAGGCAATTTGATGCCATTTTGTGAAGTCCAGGCATTCCTTGGCTAATGGGTTTGGGGCGCTTCCAGGCTAATAAGCGGCTAATACTGCAAACCCATGTTATGCTTGCAGTTGAGTAGTAATTTCCCGCTCAGCTTTAAAACTAACGAATAAAGCGGTACTGTAGGTGCCTGACTAGTGACCAATAGCATGATCCCAACAGCCTTTTCTAATTCTAGGGTTGATTTTGGGACCCCCCAAAAAAATCCATTTCTTTGGCTTTATAGGGAAAATTGAACGATTTTGGATGACAAAGCGCCGATTTCAAATCAACCCCTGAATTATGTTACAAGGATACCTAAAATGAACTTGAAATAAAGATTGGAGGCACTAAGGCCACATACTGTAGGTCGTTGGGGTTGCCCAAGCCCTGAACCCTAAACCGTGATGATGACGCAGCAGGTTGAAGCCATGGAGCCCTCATACTGTGGATGCTTAGAGAATGCATAACCTTGGTATACTACAACTTGAAAATTTCCTTAGGTATACGTAAGGTACTTGGGGGCATGCGGGATTGCTAGTATTCACGTTATGCGCGTACACTCTTGAGGATAGAGGCAAAGGGCTCGTACTGCAACCTGAGATCATCCAACTGACCAGCCCAACTTGCGTTTAGGTCCCAAGGCAGCTGAGATAACATATCTATTCACAATGTCCCAGTTAAGGCGCTCTTTGTGGCTATTCGCTAAGTAAACAACCTTTTCGGGTGGGGCTAGGTGAGGTCGTTGGAACCTCTAACTTGTCCAGGTCTACGGTTTGGGGTTGAGGGTTGGCGGTTACCCTAGACCCTGAACCTCAAACCTTAAACACCTAAGCCCTAAATCTGAGGATTCAGGGTTGCGGGCCAAAGGCTTGAAGGGCTTAAGACTTCTTTGGCTCGAGGCTTTGGGGGGGCTCAGGGCTTGCTTCCAAAAAGGGCTTTAATGGAACCTCAAGAATATACAAGGAATATAAGGGTTAGGGTTTAGGGGTTAGAGCTATAAAGGAAATATACCTACCAGGCAACTCATATTCCTGCCATGTTCGTTGGGTTCAAGACATGAAGCACGCAGAGTTCGTGGGAGTCGCATGAACATGGAGAGTTTTGGTGGTTGGAGCATGGAATCCCCTACAGAGTCTTCGCGAAGTCGCAAAAGTTCTTCAAATTGCAACCATTATTTCAAACAGGGGGCCGGGGCGCAAACGGTTGGGAGCAGCATTGCAGGACCATACCGAGGCTATTTTCAACCAACAGACTGTATATGAGAGACCGTAACCATCTTGCAGCTTCCGTCATTGTCGGCGTGGCACATGCTCCGGATTGTTGCAACATCCATGTCTGGACCGTCGCAAGGAGTTGCACGGACGAATTTATTTTCTTCGTGTTCACGGCGTTCTGGACCGTCGCAAGGAGTTGCACAGACGAATTTATTTTCTGTGTGTTCAAAAAAAAAGGATGTAGCTGACATCCATACTAGGAGTCAAGCACCGTCGTGCCTACATTTCTTGACGGTGCCGCGGCTCTTGCTCTTGCAGTCGCGCCTCCATCTCTTGATGGTGCTGCTGCTTTTGCTCTTGCAATCGCAGCTGCAGCTGTTGCTGGTCGCGTTGCTGCTGCTCCTTCAGGAGAACCCTAGACCCTAAACCCCTAAACCCCAAATCGTACGCCTCAAGCCCCAAATCGTGCTAAGAATGACCCAAATGAAGTACCCTAAACCTTAAATCCTGAACCTTACTAGGTATTAGTATTGAAAGTGAGGAGCGGGTGCCTCTAAGAATCCTGGCGAGATGTAGAGATTACACAGGGATAGTCTTACGGGCTCTTAGTTGCAATATAGGAATACAGTGTACCCAATAGGCCGATGGTTGGGTAGGGTTTATGGGGTCTAGGGATCTGCGGTAGGGAATAAGGGAATAATTATATCATAAGGGCTATATAGGGATTGTATTCCCTTATTCCCTACTAAGACCCAGTAAGGAATGGAGGTCTGCACGAAGGATTGCACAGGGTTGACAAAGTCTAAGGTGTCTAGCTTGGCCTATGCGTCCCATGGCTACATCCTCTTAGGATTTCAACCCTACCTGGGCCGACAAGGTGGAACAAATCATGGCAAACAGCAAACCCCCAACCCTACCTTGAGGATTCAGAATCCTGAGCCCAAACCACCCCTAAACCCTAAACCCTAAACCCCTAAAACCTAAACCCCTAAAACCTAAGCCCTAACCCCCCCATAGCCTAAACTCCAAATGGAAGACCCAGGAGCAATTGATCTACCTGCTTCTGCAACGCCAATTGCCTTGGCTCTGCATTTTCTTTGGGTTTAGGGTCTTGGGTCTTGGGGGTTTAGGGTTTGGGATTTAGGCTCTCGGGTTTAGGGCTCAGGGTTTGAGGTTTAGGGTTTGGGATTTAGGGTTGAGGGTGTGGGGTTTGGGTTTGGGTTTTAGATTGGGGCATTCGTCTTTCAGTACCAGTTACCACAATGGGCACAAGCCCCTTCATAAGACACGTTCATACATAGTACCTTGTGGGGCAAGTACTCGAGCTTTAAGTTTTTTGAGTCTTATTCTTCAAGTTTCAATAAAACCTGCAAGTACTACACCCTACAACCTCAAAACGCAACAAAAAAGCGTGAAAACAAAAAAATCAAACCCTGAGCCTCACACCTCAGAGCCCCTTATAAACAGAAGGCTCAACACAATAACCCTTAACCCTTAACCCTTAACCCTAAACCCATAACCCTACACCCTTAACCCTAAACCCTTAAGCCCTAAACCCTAAACCCTAAGCCATAAACCCTAAACCCTCAACTTTAAGCCCTAAACCCTACACCCTAAACCCTAAACCCTACACCCTAAACCCTAAACCCTTAACCCTAAACCCTAACATCACATATGTCCTTCGAAGCTGCTGTTCTTGTAGCTGTCGGAGGAGCTCCTGCTCTTCTGAAGGGTTGGCTTAAGGATTGGGGGTTCAGGGTTGAAGGTTTATGGGGTTTAGGGTTAGGATTTGGGGCTTAGGGTTGAAGGTTTGTGGGGTTTAGGGTTAGGATTTGGGGTTCAGGGTTGAAGGTTTATGGGGTTTAGGGTTTGGGGTTAGGATTTCGGGTTTAGGGTTGAAGGTTTATAGGGTTCCGGGCTTAGGTTTTAGGGCTGAAGGTTTGAGGTTTAGGGCTTTGGGTTTAGGGTTGTGGGCATCTGGGTTGCTTGGAAGGAACTACCAAATTAAGCTACCCGAGTATGGAGATATAGTGACTCAAGGGGTTGCTCAGGTATGGTAACCTATCTCAAGTCCCACCAACACAAAACCCTGAACCCGAAACCCTAAACCCCTAAACACTAAACCCCTAAACCCTAAAACCCAAACCCTAAACCCTAAACACCCTAAAGTTCCTCAACAGCAACCGGGGTAATCGTTCCTGAAACATCCTTACGGACCCAGGGGCTATATACTTGGAGGGTTTAGAGTAGAGTTCAGGGTTTAGGGTTTAGGTCAGGGGGACTTAGTAAAATAGGTTAATGATGGAAAAGAAAATGGAAACTACTATATCATTTAGGGTTTAGGGTTTAGGGTCAGGGAGACTTAGTAAATAGGTTAGTAACGGAAAAATGGAAACTACGATATTACTTCGGGTTTAGGCTTTAAGGTTTAGGGCCAGGGAAACTTAGTAAATAGGTTTTAAATTAGGATAACCAGTGTGTCCATATGGGTCATGGGGCTTCTTAACCTGCTTACTGAGTCCCGCTGTGAAAGAAAGTACGGTGTTGACTACAGGTGAGTACCGTTTTTTGGTGGTTGAACCTAGTAAGATTATAATCCTTGTATAAAATACTATACCCCAAACGGAGGATATAATCTTACTCTATATTGGGTAGCATAATACCCCCAAATAAAATACTACTCAGGTTGTCTACTGCCCCCCTCACTCACGCAGACTGTTGCTGGGCGGAGGCAGTACCACAGCTGTAGCATATCTGCCGGTCTTTACTCTGCGTTATGTAAGAGCCACTGCTGGGACTACGTGGGAGTTGCTCTAAAGGTCCTTGCAAAGTAAAGCTGAACCTTGGGAAAAAACGTCCTAAAAGGGGGGTGTCCTAACCAAAAACAGGAAGCCTACATAATGGCCATCTTGGGAACACGTGTTTTGAACGAAAGCTGAGGGGGCATACATACAAGACCCCATCAAGATTCGGGGTTCTAGAATCTAGGGTTTAGGGTTTAGAAGGCAGAAGAATTCCAGATTGGGAATACCACGGTTCCAACTAATGTGGCGGTGTTATGCTATCTTTGTCTTCCTTGGCTATCTACCTTTTTGGCTATTTACTTTGTGACGGGGAGGTTGATATCGTCAGCCTCGTTACAACCAACACTTTCTCCATCTTTCGTGCAGTATTATTCTTCTCTCTTCTCCACGCGAATATGAACTTTCAAGGTGGGAGTTTAGGGTTTAGGGGTTTACTTAGGGTTTAGGGTTTAGGGGAGTTTGATGGTCGATGGTTCAAGACTTGGGCTCTAGCGGTTTGAGCTCTGCTACCTGGCAAAGAATGGGAGCCTCAACGTTGTATCGGGGCCCTGGGCAGCAGAATGCAAGTCTGGGGGAGTTTACATCCTAAGCTAAGGTTCAAGTTTGGCCATCAGGGCATTTAACGTGAAATTCTTGAAGACAGGCATGACGCCAGGGTTTAGGGCTCAGGGTTTGGGGTTGTGAGATAATTTGCCCCAGACCTGCACTATGCAATTTTCTATTCGGCGATGTAACTATGGGTATATAGAACCCAGAACGCATGTAGGTAACTGGAGCTCACAGATTCACCTAGCAATAAGCCTCCTTAAAAAGGAACTCTATAGAACCATAAAACCCACATGCCCACCACAAAAGCCCTGCAGGCCCTAAACCATGTGACCCGCGTATTTTCTTGGACGGCTGCTGGTGCCGCCGCAGGAACCACGACCTTGCAATTCCAGGGACCCCTTACGGCTTGTAAGCCCTAAACCCTCAACCTAAATCTTTAAACCTAAACCCCTATAGGGTCTTTTAACAGTAGCTACCTTGTCTAACATAGGTTGAATCTGCCTCCAGTTCTGAGATCTACTCAATATACTGTGAAGCTCCGGGTTACCATCAGTTAAGGACGAGAGGGAGGAAGAGAGAGAGAGGCATGTATACGCACATGTATGTACGTATGTAGGTATGTAACTGACACAATCCTGTGCTGTCCTTGGAGTCTTGGACCGTTGTACTACGATAAGTGGCATTTTGGATTGTTTGCCAATGGCCTACGTCTACAACCTTGCCCCAGAAGCCGAAAGCTACTTCGCAAATCAGCGTAGGATTCGTTGAGCGTTTGGGATGGGATTGGCCTTAAAAAGGGCCTGCCGAGCAATATGAAAATCCAGGAGGGGAACTCGCTATTTCCCATAAATTCACGTCCCTTCCTGGTGGGCCCTCCCCCAACAAGCCTACCAGAACTTGGAGGCAAATAACCTGGCAAGGTTCGCACCGACATTGGCAATTACAGCGTCTGTCGTTGCGCAAAAAATCGGCTGTTCATACGGCATGCCCCACGGGATGCATCCAACTCAACATGAGGCTTCTCATGTACCCTTCCGGTGCTCAAGGAGGGGTAAAGCAGTGGAAACTTATAGTGACCCTTACATAGGCCCCTATGTATATATACTTATGTATATACACTTGTATATAGAAACATATACATAGATATATACCCCTAAGAATAGTACATCAATTCACCAACCCAATTCTGCTGAAGCACAAGTAAGGAAAGGTTCTGAGCTCGCTGCAACCTCACCCTCTGCAGCGATGCGACTCTTGGAAGCCACAACCTGTGAGGTTTTCCTTTATTAAGAATTCTAGCTCTACACTTTACTGTTTGCAGGGTTTATGGACAAGTGGTTGGCAATTCTAGGGTTTGCGCTTGGCTGCGTGTTGATCAGGGTGTTGGGGGCTTGGGGTCTCCGCTCTTCCTAGATTCTGCAATTTGTGATTGCTAGCAGGTTTGGGGGGCTTGGGGTCTCCGTAAGAGGCAATGGGCTGCTAGCGGTGCAAATGCCATTGTATCAACCTCGTTTTCAAACACATAAGCATGTCATGGCTGTAAATGAATGTAAAATTGGTTGCTTATGCACAGAAAGCGTTGGTCATTCTGCCATCTAGTTGTGGCTGTTCAGGATTAAGCCCCAACCCTAAATCCTGAGCCTTAAACTAATATATCTGACTCCTACAATTGCTACTCTTGTCGAAGTCGGGGGGGGTGGGGGCTGTACATCCAGCCTGTGAAGGCAACGTGGCGCTGCCACCATCTTCAGCCTGACAGGCTGCCAGTGAACAGTGAAGGACGCTTAGTTTTTTTATTTTGATTGTTTTTGTTTGCGGGGGGGAGGGGGGGGGGTGTTGGATGGGTTAAGGTTTGGAGTTGGGGTTTAAACTCAGATCCCTCACAACATTAGCAAATTCGTCTTGAACAAACACTGAAAGCTTAGGGCTGCAAAATGAAGCTGAGCTCAAGCTTGAAAACGGCAATGCGCTAGGCGACATCGGCTCAACAACAAAACTCGAAGTTCAGCTTGAAAGCTCGATTGTTTACTCGTATTGGGACCTGGAAGCCCACTGCCCATGCTGGGGCCCCTTTCCAGGTGTAAGGGTCTGGCACAAAGGTCCAGGATCCCAATGTATCCCTTGAATGTGGCGCTGTGGGGATGCTGCTCGTCAAACTCCACGCTCTCGGAGCAAATCACCCCCAAAAAGCTCTCAACATGTCCGTGTAGGCACATTCATCCAAAAGAGCGATACTTGAGCGGCTCACATGTCTACCTCGCAGCAAGCCTCAAGCCCTAAGCCGCCGTCAATCCGTTTATTTCGAACACATCAACATGAAATCTAACAGAGCCGAAACCCGGGACCTCAACTCCAGCCGAAACCCTCCAGCTCCCAGACTCGCAAGTCTAAACCCCAAATCCTATAAACCCCAAAGCCTCAAACTCAAACCATAAGCCCTGTGATTCCGAGGCTGTAAACGCTAAACTGCCTCAGCTGCCTTCGCCCCATTTTCACCATCGCCAGCAGCGATGCCCTGAGGGCTTGCCGAATTCCCTGAGCAGTGAGGCTTTTGGGGTTTCGCATTTTGGCAGTAAGGCTGGAGGGTGTATAGGGCTTGGAGCTTATTATTAATATTATTACTATTACTATTATTATAACTATTACTATTACTATAGTTACTATTATTGATATTATTAGAGGATATCTATAGGGCTTTGGGCTACTGGAGTAGGCCTTAGGGCTTAGATCGGGTTTAGGGCTTTGGGCGCAGGGATTTCGATTTAGGGCTTCTACCTTGGGCTTTGGGCTTAGGGTTGCTCTCAGGCTTTGGGCTGCTTTAGAGTTCAGGGTTCCATCCTCTCCATATAACTTGGACCTCCTTCTGGCTAAAATTACGCGTACTTGCCTTCTGTAACCTGTGTTTTGGGGGATCTTTGTCTTAGCCCACATTACCCCAGGAAGAAAAAAGGATCCTTTTTTCATAAATATAGGGAATCCCATACCCCAAAAAGTATAAAGGATCCCTACCATTGATCCAGTTGTGAGGCCTTGAGGTGGTTGTATGCTTCCGCATCACTGATTGAACCAAATAAACTTGTCTCCAGGTTGTTCGTCGCAGGCTGAGCCCGGCCCTTTTTCGAGAATTTTGGGTTTAGGGTTTAGGGTTTAGGGAATTTTCTGGCCGCCCCGCCCCCCCCCACCCCCGTTTCCTTTCACAGCTAGCCATGACGTGGACATATGCTCGTTGCAGCAAAATTGCTGAGGAACCTTGTTTCGAAAGGGACAAATACCCTTTACTCTTAACAAAATGTATCTGACGTCATTCTGTGGATTTGTACAGTCTTTGAGTAACACATAGCAACACAACCTTTCGGGAGCATCATCGAACCCTAAACCAGAAGCCCTAAAACCCGAAACTAGTAGGCCCAAAGCCTCAAATTAAACCCTCAACCGCAAACAACTCAATCGTTGAGTTATTGAAGACCCAGACCCCAGCCCCTAATGTTAAGGGTCCAAATACCCAAATAACGTTGTTTTGGGCCCCAAACCATAATTTGGTATAATTTGAATGGTTCTTAGGGTCTCAAACGCCCAGTAAGCAATTGGGGTCAGAGGTGATCCTAAAACCTACATCCCCACAATCCCTGTATAACCCTATGTCTCCCCATGTACCGCGAAATTAGCGTGGTTGCAAGCAAAGCCTCAACCCTAAACCCTGAACCCTAAACCTTAAACCCTAAACCCTAAACCCTGAACCCTAAACCTTAAACCCTAAACCCCCAATGATATTCCAAGGATCCTCGTGGCGATGATCCGGCTTCCGGGCGCAGGGCGGAAGGCGAGAATCTCCCCTGGTTTCAGATGCGAGACCATGTACGCAAAGACATACATACATACATACATACATTGATTGCATGCCCACATATGCGTATGAATATATATATATACATATATATATATATACATATATATATACATAAATATGCCCATAAATATACATACATATATATATATAACTACGCAGCTGTTGCAAAGACATACGTGTTACTTGCAGCAGCGGCTATGAATATAATCGACTTGAAGATATTACCTGGACACAGCTTAGGTTCTTCCCTACCTAGGGTTCCGAATGCACAAAAGCATATTAGGTAATGGATAGGGTTTGAGGTGATTTCGTCTAAGTGTCGGCATAAGACACCCAAAAACAATCATCGTCTTTACATTACAGTATTTTGGACTCATGCTTTGATGGAATGGAGGAAAATGCTATCCAACAAATTCGAAGCCTCAATTCTCGCATGCGCTGCTTCCGCTGCAGGTGGGTCGCCGGTCGCTGTCTTGAAGCTCGGGGTTTGTGCAAGTGCTGGGCTTTGTGGCTGGGGTGCCGTCGAATGCGCCCAAGATTGGCCTGACTGGTTTGAGCTATCAATGCAATCCACGGGGCTAGCAGAAGCTGGCTCGCTGTTCACGGTAAGTGATGGACTCTCGAAACCCGTGGGGGCGGCCTTCTCAGTAGTGGACGGCTGAGGCGAACTTCCATGCTCAAGGGTGGACTGAAGAGTCGACGCCTGGAAACTTGCCGTGTCACGAACTTGTTCCTGCATCAGAGCATCGGGCTCTGTAACTTTGGGCACGCGACTTGCATTGACCGCGACAGATGGTGGCTGCCACGTCTCAGCATCACTTGCAACCGGAAGTGGATCTGTCTCCAACTCCTGAATCTCATCCACTTGCTTGATTTCCTGAAATGGCGGACCACTCCTTTGAACAACGCTGCTTCGCAATCCAGTGGATTGCTCGCGCATGATTTCTTCCTTGCCATCATCCGTGCCAGAACCGGCCCAGCGTCTGTCCACCGGGGAGTCCGAAAGCACTGGCTGCTGAGACGAAGGGGCAACGACATCCTCAGCTCTCAAATTCTAACCAAGGGGCCCATGTACCCAACAATTAGATCCCTTTAAATGGTGCATATAGGGATTTATGGGGGTATAGAGGGTTTAGGGTTTAGGGCCAATGTACCCAATAATTGGGTATTTGAGATTTTGGCACTAGAAATCGTAGTACAGGTATTGGGCAAGCATATGATTATGTATTGAGTATTTGAACCCTTAAGGAAAAACAAAAAACAACAAAATATTTGTTGTGGCTAGCTGTCACAACTTCACAGAAAACCCATACCCATGTAAACGTTCAACTTTTATCTACGTTTCTTACCGCTCGGGAAGGTGTGTGAACACCAACCTTCATATGCTTCTCCCAAGCCATCGTCGCACCCAAACCATGTAGTAGTGTCCAAAAATGGAGGGACCCTAATAGACACCCCAAAAGACGCCTTATAGAGGCATCTCTAATTTTGGGAAACCACCAGAAAACTCCTCAACAGAAATGAGCCGATGACGCTTGTCTTCGTCATCTTGGCTTCTCAAGCTGACATGAGCAAAGACGCAATTCAGGGTTTAGGGCTTATCAATCCGAAATTTCAACCTCCTGGCCAAAAGACAAACATCAAGCAGGATCAAGCATGAAACCCTTGCAAGGCCTTAAACGCCTCCACATAAGCATTTCCTTCAAAAAGGTATGATCCTCAACCCGAGGACTTCAAAAAAGGTACCCGTATTCTCAGAAACCCCATTGAGGTTTAAGGCAAGTTCGGGGTTACTACAGGAGCCTAAATAATTATCAATATTATTTTGTGTTCCATTTGAGGTGCCATTGACCATAAACATATGAGGAATCTGGAGCCATAATACGGGTAATTATCCTTAAGTCCCAAACCCAAAAAACCTAAACCCTAAACCCTAAGGAATATGGAACCAGAATATTGGTAAGTATTTAGGCCCCTCTAGTAGCAAGGAGCCCCCCCGGAAGAGGCGCAAAAGCCGAGCTTCAAGGCTCTGCGCCGGAGGACTTCGTCCGGAAGTCCCCCAAGTCATGCCATTTTCCTGGCGATGTTCAAGCTTAGGCTTCAAGACCCCTAAACCCTAAACCCTATAAATCTTAAACCCTTAGGGTCTCGGGCCTGGAGCGTGAAATCCAGAACTGATGCATACAATCACCTGAAAGCAGGGTTTCAGGCCTAGGGTTGGTTTCCGATTAGAGCTTCCTGTCACTGATAGCTTTTCATATAAACCCTAAACACTTAAGACTGAAATCATAATATGAACCCCTAAGCCCTGAAACTTAAGCCTTCCAGCCCTGAAACCTAAACCTCAAGCCCTTAAAACCAATAAAACCAGACTGTAAGTCCCTGAGCCCTAAACCTTAAGCCCCCAAGCCCCGAGCACCGAGGTCCTAGAGTCCCCCCTAAGTAGATAGAATATGGCTTTGGGTATATTCTGTCTTGGGGTTATATAGGGATAATGGAAAAGAAAATGGAAGCTACATAGTGTATTTGGGCTATATGGGGAATATGGCTTTGGGTATATTATAACAAGACCCCCCATGTACCCCATATTCTATCTACTTAAAGGGGACTAGACCCCTAAACACCAAACCCTAAACCCTAAAACGTAGTTTCCATTTTCTGTTCCATTATCCCATTATAACCCCAATATAACCCTAATGCTCTATCTACTTAAGGGGGA